AGCTCGTTTCTATGGATTCGTGATACTTGCGTTTCTTAAGCGAGTTTTGGTATCTTAAGTCGTTCGTCAATATAACTTGCTTTTGGTAGGAAGGCTAAGTCGGAAGGACGTGGAATTTCTCGATCAGCTTCTGCGAGGAAACAGCCTGATTGCAACTGCAAATCAACTGCTGGAACTCCTGGAACTAACTGATCAGCTGCCTCGAGACGTTCATTTATATGGATACCGACCAAAATCCTGTTTGGGGGCCTGACGTGGTTTGGGTTCCCGATAATTCTCGATTCCCAGCAAGAATTCTCTTTGTTCTTAGGACAGGAAAATTAATTACTTCCTATTTTTGGAAGATTAATCACTTTCCATTTCGGGGGTTTCTCCTTCTTCCGCGAGGGAAGGTCGGAGGAGAGTTATCCTCCTAGACTCTTCCTCTCTCACATTGGTATCTCATACCAATTCCCTCAGTGGGTGTTAACAACTTCTCCGTCTTTCTCATACATTCACCTCCGCCTATCAACCATGATACCACTTGACCAATGATCTCTCGGCAGTGTGGGTGTGGCTAGACTGGCCCTCTTGAAATTATTATCCAGAATTTTGTTTACAAAATCCTTTTTTTTTTTTTTTTCCTTCGGCCAAAACATTTACAAATCCCAGATTGCCAAATAATTCTTATCACATCTTTCTTTCGGGGACACCCAAAATTCACTTAGTCGGGTCTCTCTACCGACTCATCAATCACTGTCAAAACCCGACACCTGGTTTCTTCTGCTAAGTCAACTTTTAGCTGGGAGGTCCGTATTTTACCTGAGAATCAAATTCTTTATTTTTCTCATGCCTTAAAATCCTCTTATCACCAAATGCCCATTTTCGATGACGCTGTGTTTGACGTCAACAGTTTGAATAAGCAATAATAATACGATTTTCTTCCTCATGCCAGAATTCTAACACACCAGATGGCTCCCTTTGTTGGACCCAGGAATTAAAATTAAATGATATCACTGAAAGATAACTAATATCTATTCTCCGTGATGGTCTCAAGCCAAAATTTTTTATGGCCGCATGTGCCGGTTGGCTTTGTTTTTCTTTCTGAATTCTGTTTCCCTTGGCGCGTCACTCCCTTATCGTGACATTAATCAGTTTTGACAGAATCTCATATCTCGCTTTTTCTTACGGATTTTCTGTCTCGTGCGAAAAGTATCTTTCTTCGTAAATAAAATAAAATCTTTTTTTTTAACGTCGATCAGTCTATCTTTCGATATAGCTCTTTCTCTCCTTAAGTCTTTCCTGTTTTTAATTTCTATGGTTAATTAGTTAGCCAATTACCATAGCTAAATAGTGTCAAACCTGTAACAATTTTATGCCACTTTACAAGACACACAGACAGAATAATCAAATTTAATCGCCCAGATATAGAGGTTAGAGACCGCAAAAACAGAATATGCTTTCTTATTGAGATGGCAGTCCCTGCAATCTTTTATGTATCTTTGAAAATCTTCAAAAAATATCATATACATCTTTTGTCTCGGAGAATTAAATATGGTAAACATCCGGTTCAATAGCCCAGATTTGATTGTCAGTTGTTTGACATTAACCAGTTTGTGCATGTCTCCTAGTTGCTGACACACGTTACATCTTGATTCATGATCAGGAGTAGTGGGGAGGCGCCATGGCCAGGTGTCAAGCCTTGGAGAACGAGGCAGCCTAGTTGACTTGAGTCTCACATCTAGATAATAGAGGGCACTGTCAAGTCCATCTGCGCGGACTGGGTTACAAAACATGGGAAATTTCTAACTGGGCCCGATCTGCAAAGTCATGTGCTCCTTTTATCAACACCTGTCCCAAAATATGCATAGATAAGTCCCTTCTGTCAGTTATGTGCCATGCGTAATACACAAAGCGACCATGTATCTTTCGATACATGACTGACGAGGCAGATTTTCCCCGCAGTAGGTTGCCATTTCTTTCTGCGGTAGACCAGCTACAGGCGCATTTGTCGAGATTTGGCGCCGGTTGTCCTTGAAGGGTAGGGCTGAGGCGTGTGCAACTTACGTCTTTCCTCTCATCCTTTACCAGCTGTCTGACTTCCTCCCTCTCTAAGTAACGCAAAAAGAAAATCGAGCGCTTGCTCTCCCCACTCTTGTAGGGTGGTCACAAGCATTATGTCGACAGAAATGTCTGTGCCCAACGTCCGTGTCTTGGGGGACTGGTGAGTCACCGATACGATTCGAGGTTGGCTTTCCTACGTCGCGCGTTGACAGAGGATTAGATCTTGAATGACCGCATTTCCTTGAGTCTCGATCGGCCTTGCAGGTCATTCCTCGGTCCTGTGACCTTTCTCGGCCTAAGTTTTCATGTGTACAGACCACACCTTACGAAGGGCTTTATCTATTTAAAATATGTATGATTTTTTAAGTGCTCAGTGAAAAATGTCATGATGCCATTTCTGACCTTAGGTCTCTGGTCAGGATCCAGAAAGAAATGAGTATATACCAGAAATCAAAGGAAATAATAATAATAATAATAATAATAATAAAATTAAGAAGAAGAAGAAGCAGTAATAATAGTCTCTTATGATGCACGGAGGAGTAATGGATAGTGGCTCGGATTGAGGAATTGGAGAGTATCCTGTCGCTTCAGAAGTCCACATTGCCTGGCACTGCAAATAATCTACAAAACATGGTATCTGTTTAATGTAATGTAGTTGGCCCTGCTCTGGCGTCTCGTCTACAGTCACTTTCTCACAGACGCGCCGTCGCCTCCCTCTGTCTGTTCTACAAATACTTTCATGGCAATTGCTCCGAGGAGCTGCATTCGCTGGTTCCCAGATGTCATGAGTTCAAGCGCCATACGAGGCTGGCATCACGCTCTCACCCCTTCACTGTCGAAACTCCTAAATGTATCTTGTCTCTTCTACTCCAATAGCTTCATGTCTCGCACCTCTCGTCTGTGGAACTCCCTTCCCTATTCTGTTTTTCCTGTGAGCTATAATCTCCAGCTATTCAAGTGTAATGTCAATCGACATCTCCAGTTGCCTTGATCTATCCACTACCCTCATCCTTTCTTCTATCACTCCTATCTGATCTTGCTCTAAACTTTCTGTAACTCCTTGCGTCCTAGTGGCTTCCCGCCTTGCTTGGGGTGAAATGCTTAAAAAAAAATGTCTTTCGACTTAATGGGGAACACCCATAATACAAGCTTCCAGGTTGAAAACAAACAAACAAACAAGAAAAAAAAACGTGGATAATAATAATAATAATAACAACAACAACAAAGATAATCGGCCATACATCGTGATTAGAGACTGCAAAGACAAAAGTGCCTCCTTATTTATATGGCAGTCCATGAAGACTGCAATATATCTTTGAAGATCTTCAAAAAACTATCAAAATACAAGGATCTTGAAATTGAAATCTTAAAAATGTGGTATATGAGATCATCAATAATTCCGGTTGTAGTTGGAGCCCTCGGATTCATTAGAAAAAGATTCCGATAGACTCATTGAAGGGATTCATGGCAGCCCATGCCTTAAAGAAATACAAAACATTGTTCTCACGTGTACAGAACACACCTGACGAAGGACTTTATCGATGCAAAATATATGTGGTTTTTTAAGTGCTCAGTGAAAAATGTCATGATGCCATTTCTGACCTTAAGTCTCTGGTCAGGATCCAGAAAGAAATGAGCAGACATCATAAAAGGAAATAATAATAATAATAATAATAATAATAAAATTAAGAAGAAGAAGAAGAAGAAGAAATAATAATCTCTTAGGATGCACGGTGGAGTAATGAATAGTGGCTCGGATTGAGGAATTGGAGAGCCGAGTTCGAATTTCAGTCGATTCCATTACATTCACTTACGTGCTAATACCCTTGGGAAAGATATGAATCCTCTTCTTCCGCCCCCAACTATAGGTAAATATCAGGACAAACCGGGTTCTATAGCCTTGGATGGCAACTGTTCGTCTACCTACCGTGGGAAAAATCTGCCTCGTCAGTCATGTATCGAAAGATACATGATCGCCCGTGTATCACGCATGGCACATAACTGAATTGTTACTTTCTTGAAAACCGCCTTTTCTCTGATACTGAGGATTCCGTGGCAGGAACTCATAGAGCTGTTAATTGTTTTCCGTATAGACAACTCACTGCGAGCCATTGGGAGTGAGGCTTCTCTTTCTTGGGTGCTTTATTAATATGATCAATGTTTCATTAATCCTTCAGTCCGACTAATACTTCTGGAGCTACTGTTAACGAGCGTTCCTGTAAGTTTTAAAGAATGGCTGTTTTGTCAATTTTAAAATCGGCCGCTCTCCAAAACTGCCCCCGTCTGTGCTGGTATATAAATTTTCATCCTGATCAATTAAATATGACACCTAAATTTATATTTAAAAATTTCAAAAAGACCGCTTTTGGTGCCTGAGGCTAGGCAAAGCGATTAACACCAACCAAAGGGTAGATGTGCAGGAAGTGAAGAAGCGTGGTTGGTACCTTTCTAGCCTTTTAGTGCAGAGGAATAAACATTCCAAGATCTGCTATGCATGGAATGTCTGTAGACGTATTTCAGTTTGAGCCAACTTTGTTTTTTTCTTTTCTAGCTCTTAAATTTAATATCTTTTTTTTTTTTTTTAATGAATTAAATCTTACAGTTTTTTGAAGACAAAGAGTCTCAACGCGAACATATTCACATCTAATGAAGCTCATACGGGCATCACTGAATGGACGCAATTATATAAACGTCCCACTGAAATACTGACACAAAAATGGAGGGGAAAATATACTTGCTTTTGTCTCGGTTAATTCACGGATATGTTGGTATATATGTATGTATGGAAATCATCCCTGAAATGTTCGTTTATTATTGTCCTCCAAAGGGTGGTCTTTTCGGTCACAAATCGAATTCACTGTATATATATATATATATATATATATATATATTTTCCTTTTGTTTATATCACTTTCAATCTATCTATCTATACAATATCACATTTGTTCTTATCACAGTTTGTTCTTTTATATTCTCTATCATTTTTCTATCCGAAACATTTAAATTATCTATCTATCTATCTATCTATTCTCTATCTATCGAATCTATCTTCATTTATCTTCATTTTTCATATTCTATCTATCTATTATCTATCTATCTATCTATCTATCTATCTATCTTCTCAGTTTGTTCCTATCTATTCTCAGTTTGTTCATATTAATCTTCTATCCTATCTATCTATCATATCTATCTATCTATTTTTCATCCGAATCAGTTCATAAAAAAATTTTAAGATTTTATTATCTAATCAACTTTGTTTTATCTCTTAGTTTGTCTTATCTTTTAATTTAATAATGTTCCCATTATCTAAATCGGATGTTCTACAAAATTAATTCCATTTCCCAGAGGATATTAATGAGAATTTTTTGCATCCACATTTAAAATATTCAATGTAGATAGTTCCCCAAGATTTTCATTAACCATCCATCCTTTCTAACAGAAGACGCCACTGGACACAATCGTAAAAAAATAACATCTGTAAGTAACCCTGCCTGACATTACGATGAACGCAAAAGCTCGGATTTGTTCGGGTGTAGAGGCCAAGCAGGTTAATGAAGTAATTTGGCATTTTATTTCAAGATTTCACAAATTTTATTGTGTAAAGATGAAGGGAAACAAAACAACAGTCACTGGGTTCAAAAGGATGTGTTTCTGGTATCTGAAAGCAGATGATTGGTTAACGGACAAGTTTTATAATATATACATGTAAATGTGTAATATGTTTACATCAATATATATATATATATATGTATATTTATATATATATTCAAACTTTATTTTAAGCTAATTCTTTACACACACATATATATATATATATATATATTTTCTATTATAAATATTTCTTATATATATATATATATATATATATGTATATGTATATATACAAGAAACTTTATCTTAAGCTAATTCTTTTATATATATATATATATATATATATATATATATATATATATATATAGTCAAGTATATGATTGGTGTATACAAATAAATTCCAATAGCCAACAATTACTATTCTTATAATATATATATAATACATAATAAAATAATATAATTATTTATTTAAAAATTATAATTATGTTATAAAATCATAAAAAATATAGCCATATGCAAATATATATCAAATTAAAATATATATATATTCAAATTTATTTAAGCTAATTCTTTATAAATATTTATATGTATATATATATATTTAAACTATATTTTAATAAAATATATATATATATATATATATATTATTAAAAATGGATAAGGTATATACAATTTATTTATTAAAGACATTTTTTTATTTTAACGTTGTTATTTATAGATACAAGTATTTAAGCAAATGCTCTGTTTATGATAAAATAGTATTAAATAACATTTACCGGCCTGAATGTCCAGAAATTTTCATATATAAAATATTCGTTCTTTGACAGGATTCGAACCTGCATCCTATACGGAACCGTCATTTACGCTGAAAATTGCCTTACCTCCAAAAAATTTTATAAGAACCTTTCGGTAGACAAGGTCGAATTTACTGCTTATAAACTTCAATCTTCCATGTCTACCGAAAGGTTCTTTTTATATATCAGATTAAGGCACGTCAGCGTAAATGACGGTTCCGTATAGGATGCAGGTTCGAATCCTGTCAAAGAACGAATATTTTCTATGAAAATTTCTCGGACATTCAGGCCGGTAAATGTTATTTAATACTGTTTATCATAAACAGAGCATTTGCTTAAATACTTGTATCTATAAATAACAACAAACATAAAAAAATGTCTTTAATATATATATATATATTTCTAAAGAATTAATGGATTTTATTTTTTTAACCCGAAATATGTTTTTTTAATTCAAACGTTCCGTTTATTTCAAACATTATTTATTTCGTCTAGCGTTCTGCGGAAACGGGAATAATTAAAGAAATGTGCCGGTGGGTATATTAACTTAATTCACTTTGGCGTACCATTGGGAAACGAAATTTTTAAATCCATCCATTCTCACCCCAATTATGGGTTAAACAGTAGACTAGGCTTATCAGCCTTGGTTGACTACCGGTCTAGGAGAAAGAAAATCTGTATTCCCAAACACGTATATATAGTAAACTTGTCAATAATGGTCATATGAGTTTAACGAGTCGTCAGCCATCATATATATATATATATATATATATATATATATATATATATATATATGCACATCACACACACAAACATCATCTATCTATCTATCTATCTATCTATCTATCTATCTACACACACACACACACACATATATATATATATACAAGGTGCCCATAAAATCTCTTTAGAATTGAAAAAATATATTACAAAGGCAATTAATGTGATTTCTTAATCAGATTCGTTCTGTATATATATATATATATATACACACACACACACACACACACACACACACACACACACACACACACACATACATACACACAAGGTGCCCATAAAATCTCTGACATTTAAAAAATATATTCAGTCAGTTATGTGACATGCGTGATACACGCCTAGGAGATCATGTATCTTTCTATTCATGACTGACGAGGCAGATTTTTTCTTGCATTAGGTTGCCATTTCTTTCTGCGGTTGCCATCGAAGATTATAGAACCCGATCTGTCCTGCTATTTATTCCTTTAGCTGAAGGGAAAAGAGGATTCATGCCTTTTTCAAATGTATTAGCACTGTAATTCGAACTCGGCTCTCCGATTCCGCTATCTATTATTCCATCGTGCCTCCCCTAAATAAAATAAAATAAAATAAATTAAATCACAAAGGAAATTGATGAGATAACTTAATCAGATTTATTAGATGTACTCAGTAGGAATCAAAGATTTTAATCATATTGGATTTGTGTATTTCAGGTATCGTCTTGATGAAAGAGGTACTGTTAAATGAAACCCCTAATATTTCCAGATTGGTTGATTGGAAGGGCTGGCCCTATTACCTGGACACCTTGTGCCTGAACTTTTTTTAAGGGGTTATGTTATATCGTGTACCGAACAAAAATACGGGACATTACTGATCTAAAGCAAAAGACCACTGATGTCATTGCCACCATGGATGAGGCTGTTACAGCGAACATTGAAAGAAATCGACTACCATCTTGATGTGCTTCGTGTTTCATATGCAACTACTGGTAAATATATATATATATATATATATATATATATATATATATATATATATACATATACAGAATGTCCATAAAATCTCTTTACAATTTAAAAAAATATATTACAAAGGCAATTGATGAGATATCTTAATCAGATTCGTTCTATGTACTCAGTAGTTATCAGAGATTTTAATCACATTGAATTTGTGTATTTCAGGGTACCCTGTTGATGATAAAAGGTACTGTTAAATGAACCCCTAACATCTCCAGATTGGTTGATTGAAAAGGATGGCCTAATGCCAAGGACACCTCGTTCACCAGATATCACACTCCTCTGGACTTGTTTCTATGGGGTAATATGATATCGTGTATCGAACAAAAATACGTGACATTACTGATCTAATGCAAAAGATCACTGATGCCAATGGCACCATTGATGAGGCTGTTACAGCGAACATGGTAAGAAATCGACCACCGTCTTGATGTGCTTCGTGAAAATAATGGTGCCTATATAGAGGTGTATTAAATTTGTTAAAAAAAAAACTAAATTCACTGTACGAAGCTTAGAACGGCTCATGATCAAACATAATAGACATTCATTGTCCGTTATATTTAACAATATATGTTTGAATAATGTTCTACTGCCCTAATACGCTATATCTCTATCTATAAAAGGCAGGATGTGTTGTGTGTGTGTGTGTGTGTGTGTGTGTGTGTGTTTTTGTAACGAATGCACGGCCGCAATTTTCGAAAATTATTTGCACCAAAATTTACATGCACATGCTCCAAGTTAGCGAGAAGGCCAAAACCGACTTTGCATTTCCCAACTCACATCGATAGTGGAAATAATCGATTTTTTCATGCTTCTACGGCAGTTTTCATGTAGTTTGCGGTCATTTTGTACTGACCAGAGTGAGAGCCTATAGCTGGCTGCCACGAATAGGCAAATGTTAACTAGCATGCTAAAAAAAATCGATAGCTTCATTTGTGTTCATTTTATATTTAGTTCTTTTTCGTAACAGATTTAATGTTTAGTATAGAGCTTAGAAAAAAAATTGCATGTGAGATAGGCAAGAAGTAAGGCATGTAGCAAACATCAGCACGGCAAAGGGCAATTTTTAAAAAATTCAAGGAAGGGGAAAAAAATTTTTAAGTCAATTTTAGATTTGTTAGACAATTTTGAGTCATAAATTTTTGAATCAAACACGAGCAACGTAATTTTTTATATATTTAATATATATATATATATATATATATATATATATATATATATATATATATATATTTGAACGTGTAAAAAAAATATAATTATACACTAAAAAGAAAGTTTAAGCGAATGTGTCGAATTAATAAATAAGAAATCCATTACCTCTTTAGAAATTGCTTTGTTTACGTTAGGACAGATCAGATATGAATACCTTGACGATCTTTGAAGAACTTTGCGCTTAAGGACACTATTTGTCTTTGCTCAATTGGCGAGACCTTTCGTGGTCGAGTTTGTCTGAAGCACATTGGATCTAGCAAAGGTTTCCCCTGCTAACTTGGGGGTCGTAGGTTCGAAATCAGCTGGAAGACGCATCTTTTATTTAATAAGATTTTTCGAATATTCAGGCCAGTAGATGAAAACAAATAAATATGTTGTTTAATAAATAAACGGTGCGTCTACTCAAATATGGGTATCCACTAAAAATAACCTTTAAGTGAATTTTATTTTTTTTTTTTATTTATATATATATATATATATATATATATATATATATATATATATATATATATATATATATATCAAGGTGTAACAGCAAAATTTAAATTAAATTGTGTGAAAGCAAAATTGTCCATTTGTTAGATTAAAGTTTTGAACCGTTGTATTTTAGAAATGATTAAAGATATCTTTACTGGAATTTTCCTAGTTTTTTTTTTTAACTGTAGTGGACTCTACTTTGAGGAATACGGGTTAGTAGCAAAATATATATACAGTCTTTGATATTGAAGTATCGCTGTATGACTTCTTACTGAGTCTACGTGCTGGCTCACGGTGACTCCTACAACGCTGTTATCTCACCCTCACTCTTCCGGTTATCTACAACCTTTTACTATGTCACTCT